TGATGGGAATTGCAAAGGCTAGAGTCTTTCCAGATCCTAAAGTTGCAAGAACAAAAAATGCATCAATTTAAGACGTAAACTTGGGAGAAAAGTAGGTTGAAGCTCACCTGTGGGAGCGCTAGCGAGGACATCCCTATGTTCAGTCATGAGAGGGATAGCCTAAACACAGCTTCGTTAGCCGAATATAATAAACGAGAACAAAGATTTTTTTCTGGGATAAATTCTAACCTGCATTTGGATAGGAGTCGGAGTCTCAATGCCGTACTCCTTTAAGGAATTCTGCAAAGCTTCTGGTAAGTCTAACTCAAAGAACCCGATGAATGGATCTGGAATATTGTCTCCCCAAGTATAGATACGATTCAAACGACGTAGCTGATTGATCTAAAAGCAAGTGGATCGGAGGTATTTAGATCAACAAAATTGTGAATACTAGAATTACTTTAGAAAGCTTAGAGTGCTTTCGCTCACCATCTCAGCAATCTTCTTCTCAGCCTCCTCCTTGTCATTATCGGTATTAGGGTGGTCTATGCTCGTTGAAGATTTGTCTTTGGTGGCACTAACTCCCGAAATTAATTTAACTCCTAGAAAGATAGAGGGAAGTAGCTTGGTAATTCAAAAAGGGATGGTCAGAATTAACCTTCATGATCTTCATTGCTATCAGCAGATTTTGCTTGCTGCAGTTCTTCTCCTTTTAGTCTTCTTTTGAGCTTTTTTAACTCTTCCTTTATATTTTCGGGAAGCACACGAAGTCGCAGCGCCGCGGCGGCGTCCGATTCATCGTCATTCTGAAAGCGTTAGTTCCATAGTAAAAACAAGAAGATACAGATCAAGAACTTCCTTTTTAAGATAATTCAAGCGGTGTTTTTGAATGAATTTTGGAACAATGAATATGACTGTGCACGCAAGAATATAATACTTGCTGGGCATAGAATAGAAGGGAAAGCAAATTTTCAAAGTACTAGACAGCCTTATGATAAATATGTTAAGCTGTGTCTAAAAGGGTCTATAAAAATCGACTACATGTTGCACTTATGTTTTATAGATTACGGTTAGTCAT